GAGTTCTAGTGGTTGGTATTATTATTGAATCGTCATCAATTGACCTCAAAATTCACATATTTAACCGATATATTTTGTATAACAGGCAACGTTCCAGCTTTAGTTCGTTGGCTCCAGGCATATCTTTATCGTGGCGCTTCCTCAATAGTCGCTCAAAATCAACTTGTCCCAATATTAGGAATATTCCAAAAACTACTTGCATCCAAAATAAACGATCAATATGCGTTAGACTTATTAACCACAATAATAGAATATACTCCCACGTGAGTTCGCTGAAAACATTTGAATTCTTGTATATAATTAATAGTCTAACTTGCCGTGTATTTTTTCATAATAGTGCAAATTTGGATCAGTATATGCAAGCCATTATATCGTTGTTGATGAAGAAACTTTCCGCGACCAGAAATGAGAAATTCACGATACGCTTTATAAATTTCTTGTGTTATTTCATTGCTTTGAATAAAGAGGGAGCCGGGCCGGATTATATTATTAATGCTTTTGATAGCATTCAACCAGGGTAAAAGATTACTCTTCTTTAATCATGAATATAGTTTTTATCTTGGTAATAAAAGCTGATTTATTAATTTTTTATTCATAGATTATTCTTGCAAGTTTTAACTTCCATTGTGATCCTCAATTTGCAAAAAGTTCAAGGTCAGATTGAACGAAATATATGTGCGGTGGCACTAACGCGTTTATTAACACAAAGCAATACAATGTTATCACCCAATTATATCGTACAATGGTAATAATTTTTCTTTATTTTTATTTGTGTCGATAATTTATTGATAATTCTTTTATATAAAAGGCCAAGCATTTTGACTGCGGTTATCAAGTTATTTGAGGCTCCAGTCGAAATCAAGAAAACTGGAATCGAGGAAGAACAAGAAGAATACGTTGATTTCGAATTAGAAGAGGCAGAATTCAAATCCGCTTTCAACAAACTGGTTACCGCTAGTAGGGCGAAACGAGATCCAACCGGTATACCTAATCCACGTGACTTTTTGGCACGATCGGTGTATGCATTAAGTCAGACACATCCTGGAAAGGTATATATTACTTGTTAAGCTTTATTCAATTTCTTTGTGCAAGATTTTAATCGTTTTTTGCGATGGTCTTTCTTTAATTTTTAGATAATTGATATTGTTCATAAAGAAATTCCGCAAGAATGTGCCATTTATTTGAATCAGTATATGGCAAATGCGGGTGTTGGGGCATTAGATTGATTTTTCTTGTTTTTATTTTTGTTGACATCCCATTAGGAAATAAACTTCGGAAAATTCAGATTTCTTTAATAATTTATCGTTTATCATTTATACGTGATTTTTATGATGGCTAGCATTAAGAATTAAGCCACAATTCAGGCCAAACATGCAAAATATATCGGTTAAATATGTGAATTTTGAGGTCAATTGATGACGATTCAATAATAATACCAACCACTAGAACTC